CGGCACAGGTGGAGGTGGGCTATTTATTGAAGAGAAGCTGATGGAGAAAAAAGTGGTACCCTACCATCAACATCTTTGGCTACCACCCAGCTAAGATCAGTGGGGACTTTTCCGTCGCCCGTCATGTCGTTTGGACGAGAACGTTCTTGTTCTTGAGAAATAGGAAAATCCAAAACAGATTCCATTCCCATCAAGGAGAAGCCGAAGAAACTGCAAAAGAAAATTTTGATACCAGAGTTAATTGGACTCACTGGACATTTGGCCTAATAGTACTAGTGTGCTACGTAAGAGCCCTGGTGCCAATATAGCCCAGCTCAACCCAATATTGTTGCGTGGAAAACAGAGAAAGAAGGAGTATTAGGTATGTTTGCTGACTTGATTTATTTATAAAGTAATAAAGCTAGGATAAAAATTGAATAAATATTTTTTTTAAATGCACCTCGATTAGTATGCAGCTATCTAATGTTCACAATTGTTCACCGACAATTGCAGTATTGCCAGTTATGTTGCTGCTGATTTAACAAAGACATCTAGAAATTTCTTAAGAGAGATATACTTGGGAACTAAATATATTTTCATCTATGTGTTTTGAGAAAAAAGGTGAACATGCTATCAGAAAATAGATGTACACCCTGACCCAATGTTTTGTGAAAGCCTAATGCCCAATATTCATAAGATTTGCATTGAAGGGACATGTTCAAAGAGCGTCTCCCGTTCACACGAACTTTTGTAGAAGCCCTGTCCGATCAGACAGGTCTCTATACTTCCTGGAAATTGTGGCTAAAACACTATTTTTTCAATTTCTCTACTCAGTTTCAAGAGTGTAAAGAATGAAAGGATTGGCAAGATTTGCATGAATGGCTGTCTTCCTTCCTTCTCATTACCGTAGTCTGCTGGGATTTCTAGTAACTCAGAGAACATAGAATAATAGAGTTAGAAGGGACCTTAGAGCAGGGGTGGGATTCAACTTTTTTAACAACTGGTTGTGCAGGCGTGGCTTAGTTGGTGGGCGTGGCTTGGTGATCATGTGACTGAGTGGACGTGGCTTGGTGGTCATGTTATTGGCTGGGCGTGGCCAACTCAATATCACTCACATAGAGGCACACAACTCCACCCCTGGCCTCTCATGAATGTGGAGATTCTGTAACAGTCGTAAGTGTGAAAAATGGTCATAAGTCACTTTTTTCAGTGCCATTGTAACTTTGAATGGTCCCTTCACACAAGGAAAGTACCAGCAAAGGAGGGAAAAAAATTCCAGAGAAGTTCCAGAGACAGGAAGTCTAGTCCTGCCAAGAATGTAATAAGGGTTAACGGAGAGGCAGTTTCTGTAAGCAACACCAGAATGTTTCCTTCCTGCCTTCCTTACAGGATTAGCCCAGTAATTTCTTCTAACAACCGGTTCTCTGGACTGCTTAGGATGTTAACAACCGATTCTAGTGAATAGGTGCGAACTGATAGAATCCCACCCCTGCCTTAGAGGTCTCCAATCCAACTCTCTGCTTGAGCAGGAGACCCTATACCAGTAGTGGCTAACCTTTTTCGGCTCCCATGCTGATAATTGCGCATGCACTTGAGTGTGTGCACCCAGAACGCAATGCATGCTACCCTACCACCCATCCCTGGGCATGCGCACACGATCCTCCCATGTGCCATGTATCTCTGCACATGAAACGTGCAACCTCCGTGAGTGCGCTGTGCATCTCTGGGCAAGCGCATGCATCTCCTGCACACACCCGCCCCCCACGCATGCACGCCAGATACCCGACAATTAGCTGTTGGGCAGTGCACGTGCATGCACATTAGGGCTCTTCCGGGCGAGCTCTTGCGTGCCACTTCTGGCACGTGTGCCATAGGTTCGCCAACACAGCCCTATGCCATTTCAGATAAACAATTGTCCAGTCTCTTCTTCAAAACCTCCAGTGATGCAGCATCCACAACTTCTGAAGGCAGGTTATTCCATTGGTTAATTGCTCTCATGGTGAGGAAATTTATCCTTAACTTCTAGGTTGCTTCTCTCTTTGGTTAGTTGCATCTATTGTTCCTCGTCTTGCCTTTTGGTGCTTTGGAAAATAGTTTGACACCCCCCCGCCCCACCAAAAAAATATTTGAAGGAGCCCCTCAAATATTAGAAATACTGCTATCATGTGTCCTTTAGTCCTTCTTTTCAATAGACCAGACATTTCCAATTCCTGTAACTGTTGTTTGTATGTAAAAAAAACAAAAAACAAAACCATTCTTCGTGTATAAATTCCCAGCCTCTCAATACGGTTGGGATTTTAATCTACAGCTGTCAAGAACAGCATAACTCAAAGGGTTGCTGGATTCTGTTTTTGAAAATGTGCCAACAACATTCACCGGCAAACTACCCAAGAAGTATGATGTAGCCCTGGGATGGATGGTGGCCCAAGGACGCTCCCACTGCCCTGATAACCTCCTAGCCTTTGAACTTTTCACCCGATTCATCTTTGTTTGTAAGTTTTAACCTGTTTTTAACTCTGTTCTTAAGCTATGTTTTTATTCACGTATCTCTATGGTTTTATTATGCTGTTGAAAATCATCCAGAGTCACTTAGTTGAGATGGGCATTGTAAAAAAATGTAATCTATATGTATAAAAGCAAAATACCACTTACGCATCATCACAAAATCTCCAGAACTGTAAAGCCTACAAACTTGGAATTTGGCACGTATGTTCCTCTTGGCTTCTAGGTGCTCATTAAGAAAGGATTTTTTGAAATGACTATCAGAGAGTTAGTATTTCCTGTATTATTTTATTAACATGCTCTGATGCTAAGGAGTTCTACTCCCCCTCCCCACCTGAAAAGAAATCTCTTCCAAATGCAAAACACAAGCAGAGGAGAGGAGTTTCCATTTTAGTTTCACAGCACCAAGCAGCTTTAGTACAGAACAGTTGAGCTAAGCCACGCCCAGGTTCCTTGCTGTCTCCTTCTTGCTCACACAGCAAATACTGTTTCAGTTTCCAAACAGCCGTCAACTCTCACACACTGACAGAACACTAGCCAGATGAATACCGATGGATGCTTCAGAGGCACAATTTTTCCCCCTTATTTCCTCCCCAAAACCCAAGCCCGATCACATAGTTTTGTAGCAAAGCATGGGCATAGAGCTAGTTATTAAATAAATGAATAAATAAACATGAAAATGGCATTTTCTGCAGTATGAAAGTTAAAACAAAAGTGTCATATGACCTTTTGTTTTTTTGTTTTAATCTTGTGCACCACTGAAAATCACTTTCTTGAAATGGGTGGCTATACTTATTATTAATCACTTTCTTGAAATGGGTGGCTATACTTATTATTAAAATAAAATGTAAACATAACATCCTTATTGCAGATTTTGTATTTACTTATTTGTATCCCACCTTTATTATTTTTACAAATAACCCAAGGCAGTGAACATATCCAACACACCTTCCTCCTCCTATTTTCCCCACAACTACTACCTAGTTCAGTAAGTTAGGTTTAGAGTGAATGAAAATCACCCAGCCGGCTTTCCAGACTAAGGCGGGACTAGAACTAACAATCCCTAGGTGATTGGCCTAATGTCACCAAGCCACTTTTCCAGATTAAGGCAGGACTAGAATTCATAGTCTGTTGGTGATTGGCTGAAAGTCACAGATTATAAGGCGGGACTAGAATTCACAGTCCCTGGTGATTGGCCTAAAGTCACCCAGCCATCTTTCCAGATTAAGGTGGGACTAGAACTCAGTCTCTTGGTGATTGGCTCAAAGTCACCCAGCTGGCTTTCCAGATTAAGGCGGGACTGGAATTCACAGTCCCTGGGTGATTGGCCTAACATCACCCAGCCAGCTTTCCAGATTAAGAGGGGACTAGAATTAATAGTCCTGGGGTGATTGGCCTAAAGTCACCCAGCTGCTGGCTTTCCAGATTAAGGTGGAGCTAGGCTCAAAGTCACTCAGCTAGCTTTCATGGTTAGGTGGGACTAGAACTCTCAGTCACCTGTTTTCTAGCCTATTGCCTTAACCACTTTACCAACATTTTTTATAAATAAGATAGCTTTCTGTCTTCCTATGAAGTGATTTGTAACTAGAAAAAATTGCCTTCATGCATTTGGAAAGCCGGTATATTATCCTAGCAAGAATGAGCCCCCATGTCTATTTTCTTGTCAGAAAGTGAGAGAGATCTCCAGAGAATCCCTATATGTACTGCTGAAAGCCCAGATTTTTCACAATTTTTACTACAGACACATATCTGTGTCCATAGTAGACATTTACATATCTCTTTCTACAGTACATACTGTATGGAGAATGATGATAACATAGATAGTACCACCATCTGCCCTACTTTGTCGCTTGTCTATCATCTCTAGCTCTTAACAGTTTTGTAAAAGGTAAAGACTAATACAACCTAAATAAAAAGTAAAAAAAAAGAACAGAAAAGGAGAAAACATCAAAGAGAAAGCTAAAAGTTCAAAAAGGAGGGAAAAAAGAGAAAAAACAAAGTAGTTTCTGATCTTCTTTACAGCAATTAAAAATAAAATTAAAAAATAAAATAAAATAAAATGTACCCTTTTATATAAAGTTACAATGGGTCTTTCTTCTTTCTGTCATCCATCCAGTCTAATCATCAAAAACATAAATCATGGGGTCATTTTTTTTTTCCTGTTTCATGCAAAAAGTCCAGATGGGGTTTTCAGTCAGCAATAAATGTAGATATTGTTTTTAATCAAAGAAGTCAATTCAGTCATCTCTGCATCTTCACCAACCGTTCCCCCGTTGTGCGTATTGCTGAAGCTTTCTGTGATGACCTGGAGTGTAACACAAACTAAATATCCAAATCCAAAATGTAAACAAATATCCTTTAATGACTCCAACTTGGCCTCTCTGTTCAATAATTCTCAGAGATTAAATTTATTCAAAAATAGTCTTCAAAATAAAAGCAATACAGTCCAACCTCAATGAGCAGATGAAGGTGAAATAAAGAACCAAAACAAACTACAATGAAGGAACTTCCACAACGGACCAGAATAAGTAATTACCAATTTCAAGGAGATAATAAGGCACAGTCTGTTGGAAGGACGCCAACCAAGGTTATTTCAGCCCAAAATAAAACACGCTTTGCTTCTAGCAACGCTGTGTTTTAACCGTCTCTCTGATATACTATTCTCTCCGCTGCAACCAATGAGGGGGATCATGGCCGCTTCCTCTCTCGTAAGCCAAGTTGTTACCTTCTCTGTTCCTCCCTGTGGATCCTAGGATGGAGAGGGGATGGGCCTGGGTCCTCCTCTGACTGCCCAGCCGACCTCTACCCTTCCCCAGCCTTCTTCACAACCTCGGGAGCCATACCTCCATTCCCAGTCAGCTGTTCCTCCTCTCCCTCAGAGTCCGACTCTAACAAGGGCATGACATTTTCCATCTTTGTGCATACAATCACCTTGCTGCAATTAACATATACAAAAACAAAATTCAATGATATCCCCCATCCCCCAACTGTTTGTCCATCACTCCCAAAAGAAAGTGCTCTGATCTCGAATTCATATTAATCTTTAAAATCCTCTGAATCAATCAATCAATGTATGCATTTTATTCCAAAATTTTCTCCTTTTTTTTACCCATCCAAGTATGATAAAATGTCCCTTCTTTAAGATTATAACATAGTGTAACTTTCAGTTCTTTTAACCACACATTTTCCCATCGGTCCATCCGTATTATAACCAAATGTTCTAGCTCATTGTATTATTATACACTCTTTCACTTGTTCTGTTTCAAACCAAAAGTTCATATGTTTTAGCAATTATGCGTTCATCGTTTGTACATAATTCAAACTCAGCCTTACCGTGTTCAAAACCATAAAGTCTTTGGTGTACTTTAAATCTTTCTAATACCTGTAAATAAGAAAACCATTAGCAAATATGTCCCTCTCCATTGGTTCTTCTCTTGATTTTACTTTGTGTTCCCCTTGGCAAAATTCTAATATCTCATGATAAGTTAGCTGCTTCTGTTTGCCTATTGTTTCTTGCCTATAAAATATTTTTTTTGTGCTGAGAGTCACAAAAGTATTTTGGGTACAACCTGGGTTTGTTCTATTCCATATTCTCAACATAATGATTTGTAAAATCCACACTAAGTTTAGCTTTCTCATACCACAAATATTTATGCCACCCAAATCTCAGGCCACGTTCTTCTAATTCCAAAAAGTATTTTTGTTTCTCAACCACTTTTTCATCCAAACCCAGTTTTTCACTATTTC